CGACGACTTCTGCAAATCCAAATCAATTAAGAGCTTAACAATATCTGCTCATCATGTTGTGCTTCATTCTATTTCAGATCAGTTACCTCTGCTTTCGAATAAGAACAATCAAAAACAAGGTGAGTGGACACTATTTTTTGTTGGCTCTAATGTATATATTTTTTTCTTTTTTAGCATCTCATCTATGCGATACCATTGGCTGTTTATCTAAAAAAGCGTATCGTTGCCGAAACAAATGCTGATCGAAGACTTTGCGAACGTATTTTTCTACATATTCATAGAAATACTGCTGGCGTATCTACTATATTTCAAGTTGAACTTTGTAAACATGGAATTGAGCATGAATCAGCCAACGGTGATCCCTTCAAATACAGCTATAGGAAGATCAAAATATCAATGACACATGATAGGAAGCTACCATTTCTTCGTGGTTAGTTTTTTGTATTTAGTTTTTTTTCCAATAAACTTTTCTTCTCTTCTCTAACAGCAATTCTATGAATTGTCATACTTCTTGTGAAAACCAAAGTGTCGAAGTGAAAACTTTTTAGGGATGTAATAATAGGGTGGGTGTGGATGTCACTGTAAGACTACTCTTCATCTATATCCATACTCGCACCCACACTCATACCATTGCACCACAGAGCTCATCTTTTGATCAGAAGATTCTCCTTCCAATAAGTAGTATCGAAAAAATGTCTTTGCCTCTTTACAAAATAATAAATTTTTATATGCGCATTTTAAGTCTAACGAACGATCACTGAAGAGTCCGGAACGATTTTTTTGAAAATTTAAATTATGCAAATACGATTGATATACATAAAATATGAAAATTACATTTCATATGGATGAGATATTCTCGTTTTCATAATCGATTATGCGTGTGGATGTGGGTGTACTAGTAGAGCTAAAAAGAAAACCAACACGCATACCCAAATAGCCACTTTTGAAACTCTATATCATATAAGAGTGGGTGATTTTTTACTTCTAAGGATTTTGTTCGAAATTGGAATAAGTATGTGTAAAAACTTCAGCATGAAATATGTAAACAAATGATTGCATGCGTAGTCTATCAGTCAGGTACATCAATTCGGCACTGGTTTCATAAGAATTTTTGTTTTGTTACATCGAAATATCTCGAAAGATTAAAATTTTCAATGTTCAAAATTCCAAAACAAATAATTGGTTTCCAAGGTGTAATTAACGACATTAAGCTCATTCGCACGATCAACGTCATATTCATCTTTATTTTTCGAGATTTTTCCTGATTGATCTTTTAGTTCTTTCGAGTTTCAAAGTTTTTCTTCAAAATTCTAAAATGTTTGTCAAATTTTTAGTTGATATGTTAAGACGAAAAAAAAAGAAATCTTTGAATTTCAAACTGGTTCGAAAAAGAAGGAAAATTCAACAGACTTCATCTTTTTTATGCTGATAAAGATTACACAATATGGATGTCAAAGATTTGTCACAAATCTAGACAAATGAGTAGTCGAAAGATTGAATGTTGGGAGACCAACAAGTTTTATTCCGTCTGTCAAAAAGAAACGAACTTCCAACAATTGTCGCTATAGGCACCCCACTCTACTGCTATTGATAATTCGAAAGAAAAATGCTAACAATAACTTCCAGAGGATACATTAAATATCCAAGAATTATCTGGATGTGGAGTATGGATGTAGGCAAAGACAAGACCTACATATATACTCACACTCAAATTTGAGCAGGAGGAGAGAGAGGCTTTCTAAAAGTATGAGAAATGTGCGGTCCAATGTAATAGCGTTCCGAATCAGTTGAAACTAAGTAGATGTAATGTAAGTTTTCCCTTGAAATTAGAAATGCGCAAAAATGTTGCTGTATCGGTGAACATTTACATAAAGGTGACGTTTTGAGACAAGTTCATAAATTTACATAGAACTCAAACCATTTATTGAAAGCTGCCGTTAAAGTTTTTAAAAGCAGCAAGAAGAACCCCGTCCCTACTGTTGTCAAATATGTAGTGTTTCTTTAATCATTTCTTGCATTGGATCTTTGTTAGTTTCTCTCCACCATCATAAAAACCTTTTTTTCTTTCCTCACGAATCTTGATCCAGTTATTTTGTATTCACCTTCAGTCTCAATTAGTGCATAAGCTTCATTTGTTTTCTGTCTTGCTGTATCGTTTTTGCTTGGTTTCTATTCCGATTAGTTTTTTTTATCTGACCTTGTAAAGTGCAACATTGCATGCTTGATGTTACTACACCATTCTTTCTCTTCCATTTTTTTTTGTCCTCAAGTTTATCACAGAGCCCGAAACAAGATTAAATTATCGATCAATTTGATTCTAAATTTAAGGTTGTGGGTGTGTAATTGGAGGTTTTGTTTTTACATACACCCACACCCACGACTTATAAGATTGTGATCTTCGGAATTTGTCATAAGTACGTCAAAAACTTAATTTGTCTAAAATAAGAAAAAAAATAAAAAGAATAAAGTGTTGTAGCTTCATGAGGTCATAGTTAGAATTGGTGGACTCTCTGGAAAATCAATAAATTATGGAAGTTTGATAGAAAAAAATGTTCGACTCATTTGCTATGCTCTGAACTGAAGTAGAAAGTATGCTACTTTTCTATTTCGATAACTCAATAGAATAAATGATATGCAGCATTTCCAACGTGAAAAAAACAAATTATATAAAAAGCAGAAAGAAAAAAATCGATTTTTTGCATCATTTGTTGTATATGGGGCTGTATGAATAATAGAAGGAGAACGTAGGAAGTTAAAGGAAAATATAAATAATCATGTAGATTAATGCCATTTAACGACAAAATTAAGGTAAGTGGGTGGATGTCAACTATGAAACGTATTTATAGGTTGAAAAAAATTTCTTTTATTTATTAAGAGTAATATAAAATATTAGAAGGTTACATCTATAGTGAATATTTGAAAACATGAGAAGACAAACATTTATTTTTTATCCGAAGACCAACAGGCAAGATAATTTCTTTTTGTGGGCAATGGTTTTACTTCCCATTTTCTCCTTAATTGCATATATCTTTGATGCATTTTACTATTACTATATGCTGCGCAACTCTGGATCGTCAGTCTATGAAGGTCTTCTCTCGACAATTCTTGTAGTCTTTTCGTATCTACAATATTGTGCTCCGATTGAATCACGTTATTTATTATTCTTCTATCACCTGCTCTTATGGTTACTTCGTGAAATTGGTCATATTGGATATATCCTCTCATATATTTACAAGAGGGACAACTTCTTTATCGTTACATTTTGCGGATGGATGGTCCTCGATATAATCTTCACAGTGGCACTTATTTACTGTCGTGTATATCGGCAACTCCGTCATCATATTGAAGTAGAAAATAAACATATTTTTCATTTCATCTCTCGATTGGAAGTTATTCTTGCCATATTTATTCCTATTTATTTTAATTCAAAATTTATAACAATAACTCAAGATAATATCGCTTTTTTTCTTCTATTCGATTTTTTTTCCGAGACATACGAACGTTTTCGTAGTTACTGGATCAAATCGTTTCTATATTTATTTGTAGTTGCTGTGACTATATCTGTGACATGTGAATGGCTCTATTTTCATTCCCACAAGCACACATTCGAGTATATTACTACTGTTGCTGAACTCGTAGCTGCGTGTCTTTGTAATACTTTAATTATCATGCAATTTTTTACATTCCATTTCAACTTTCATATTGAAACTGACGACATCGACGGATCATCTATCTCTTCCATTACTGCAGGACAAGAATTGCACTAAGATAGTTCGACAGATGATGTTTTGATATCATCCAACATTTTTGATGATTAGTTCATAATAAATGTGAAGTTAATATCTTGCATATAACAATTAAAATAAATGTGAAAACTAATCGATTTTTCTTCTTTAGTAAATGGAATGTGCTGAATCACAAAAACAATAAGATATTGAGATGAGAGAAATATGGAACATTCAAAATATTCTCCTACTCGATCAACAATTAACTTTACAGATGTGAAACCTGATTAAACAATGTTTAGTCAATATCAGCGCATATATGCAAGTCTAAAATTCAATTGTTTCGTCTCTAGTTGAATGTTCACTAATATTTTTTTATCATATGTATCTGCCATATTAGAGTTATTTGGTGAGTGTGGATGTTGTTGTGAGTCTCGTTTTCGTAACTCTTATGCACATCGTGGAGCGTTATAATCATTCCACAATCATAATGATATTAGCTTGTACTTTAGAATATAAATTAAATAGCTGATCTATAGTTAATTTATAAATATCACTACACATTCGTAGACCAGCCAATTGTGATACATTACATTGTAGAAGTAAATCAACAAAATATCGCCTTTACAAAAGTGAATGAGAAGCTAGTGAGACCTATTGTTCTGAAATTTCTTCAAATTCATCAAGTAATTATAACGACCATAGGAGTAATTTTACATACAATCGAAGGTTTTATACTTTTAGTAAAGAACATTTGACATATGATCTGACCACGATTTTTTAGGTATTTACAGTATATGTAAAAAATCCAAAAGTTAAAATTTTAACATTATTTATTTTTCTTTTTTCGTAATGATTGGATAGAGCTCATTGCGTTGCATAAGATAAAGTGTGTTTCAAATTTAACAAGAAATCATAAAAGATGTAAGTGTGGATGTGCATGTGGATGCGAGTGCATGTATTTGATTCATACCTACACCCTAAACTATTGATATTCGAATTTCCATTACCTTTGATGCACTGTTAGCTTTTTTCCCACAGATCTGAATCATCCATTTTTCATAATAGAGGCGCCAGATATCACTTTCAGATGAGTCACAGCAAATAGGTTGCTTCTGTTGTGTTTACAGCAGTGACTCATGTAAGACAGAAAAAAGAACATCATTACTTTTATGTGTCTATACTTATATAAAAGCCGACAGTGGTGACATATTTATTCTGTCTAACAAGAAATAGTAGTTTTAATACTCTTTGCTTTCTGCTCAAAAGAAAAAAATGCTTCGCATCAAATCTGACACATCAACTCGGGATCAAAAATATGTGGCATTAAAATCGGTTACAATCGTTTCAAAGATTCGTTCATTTGGTGCAGATGTTAGTATTACACAACTATTTCGAAATGATGAAAATCAACCAATTGAAGCTGTATATTGTTTTCCAATTGAAGAAAATGCTGCAATTTATTCATTTGTAGCAAAAATTGATGATCGAGAAATTCGTGCTCAATTGAAAGAAAAAATTCAAGCACAACAAGAATATACACAAGCTTTACAACAAGGTCATGGTGCTTATCTTATGGAACAAGATGAAAAATCACAAGATATTTTCATTATCAATGTAGGAGCTCTACTTCCTGGAAAAGAATGTCAAATTCAAATTATGTACGTAACTGAATTGGATCTTATTAGTCAAAATAAAATTCGTTTTGTTGTGCCAACAACAATAGCACCACGATATAATCCGTCAGTTGGTGGTATTTCATCTCCTGCTGGTACACAAACAAAATATGTTCAATCAGCATCGTATACAATCGATTTTCAATGTCAAATTGATAAACTACATGGAGAAATAACAAGTGTTGCATCATCTTCACATCCAATTGCAATTAAATTTAATGATAATAAATATGAAATAACATTTGGTCAAAAGAATACATTTATGGATCGAGATATTATTCTCGATATTGAATTATCAACACGAACAAATACAATTTTAGCTATTGAAAAAAATGATCAACATCAATTGGCTTTAATGGCATCATTTACACCTACGAATGAAGATTGTAGAAAAGCATTTAATACTACCAATGATGTAAATAATGAATTTATTTTTATTGTTGACTGTAGTGGTTCAATGCAAGATGAAAATAAAATTGGTCTTGCTCGTCAAGCAATGGTTTTATTTCTCAAAAGTTTACCAGTCAATTGTCAATTTAATATTATCCGATTTGGATCTGATTATAGAACATTGTTTAATAATGTAACTGAAAAATATAATGAACAAAATGCAAGACAAGCTGAACAATTGATTTCACAAATGTCGGCTGATCTCGGTGGAACTGAACTATTGAGACCATTACAATGGTTACAAAATCAGGCACCTGTTACTGGTCATTCTCGACAAATATTACTACTGACTGATGGAGAAATATCTAATGTTACCGAAGTAATGAATCTTTGTCGATCAATGTCAACATCAACAAGAATCTTTTCATTTGGTCTTGGTCATTCACCAAGTCGATCATTGATTAAAGGTCTTGCTCGTTCAACGAACGGTCGATTTACATTTATTTCTCCAGGAACAAGTGTTGATATTCATGTTGCTGAACAACTTCAAAAAGCTCTCGAACCATGTATTACTAATGTTAAAGTTAAATGGAATATTCCATCATTAACATCATCCAAACTTCAAACTATTCCAACAATTATTCCACCTGTTTATG